TAGTCCTGGAAGCTATGAATAAATCCATGGTAACAAGTTCATAAGGACACAACTGTATTTTGCTAATGCCCACTTATTTTCCAGCTGAAATTTTACTGCTTTGTTTGTATACCAATCATGACTGCTGTTATTAGGTCATATGAAAGTACTATGCTAGTCAAAATTCTTTTGTAGAATTGGCCATGTAGACTGGAATTTGAAACCGTCTTGATTCTCAGGAAATCTCATATGGGTTCTCTGTGCTTTTACCTATGGGTGGCAATTCTCCTGCTCATATTGAGTTGATCTAAGTCTGAGTTCATCTTTTCCTGTGCCATCCTGTGATTTTATAAGCAATCACTTCCATCTCATGACTTGGAGTGAGATCAGTTATATGTCACTGGATGGACTTAACATTTTTGCTTTTCTTTGGCCCACCCTTTAGGTTTCACAATTACTTTTCAGGTGATGTATGCCTGTCTACATCTACTGGTATATATTGTTAAAAATAAACGGAGACCTTATGTTATGCCCATTGTGATTGTGTACAAAAGCCCCACAGTGTTCTTGGGTGATCAGTGAAGCTTGAATCTGCCTCTATTTACTGTATGGTCACTGTCAGTTCAATGAACTGCCTCCTTGTTCTTCACCATTGTCCCACACTCCCTTAAACATTTGTCACTGAAGTGCCTCCAAAGACAAATAAACTGTCACGGAGAATTCAAATCTGGAAACTGGGAAGAAAGGGGGCAGAAGGGGACCCAATGGATTATTTTACATGAAATGGGGAGGGGCATTGGGAGAGAGAGAGAGAGAGACTGCAAGATGGGGCGGGGAGAACTTTCCCCAGTTCATTTGGCTTGTAAATATTTCAAAAATCTCATTAAGTCTCAAGGACGTCACACCGTCTTTGTTGCTCAAGTGTCATTATGCTCTTGGCATGTCTCACCTGCTCGGCAGGGTGGTGATGAACTGGGTTGTGTGGAATGAACATGAGTCATCCACAGTGATCACAGGTATCAGAATAGTGGTGAGAAAATGAAAATTAAGCCATGAAATCTTGTTATGTTTGTAAAGTGATGTATCTCTAACAGGGATGTGGGGAATAACCCACTGGCTCTTTTCTCCGTCTAAACATACTTTTATGAAATAGTCTGTCTCTTTAATGTTTAGAGCCAGAGTAGGAAAACTGTGGCTCCACAGATGTCGCTGGATTCCAACTCTAATCAGCCCCAGCCATTTGGGATAAATGTTTACAAAACATGAGGGTTGAATCATGGAAGTTGTCATCTGTGAGGACAAAAGAGTTCTCTGAGTACGTTTTTAGACTAATGAAAATGTACATTAGGATGAATGTAAACACATCTCTAGACTGTTAAACCTGGTCTGTTCAGGCTTCATAGCAGTGTGGTCAAAACGCAGCCTTCTAGATCAGTGGTTCCTAACCTTGGGTCACCGAGGTGTTAGTGGACTGCAGTTTTCAGAAGCCCTTGACAGCACAACTAGTGGTGAAGGCTTCTGGGAGTTGCAGTCCAAGAATGCAGTCCAAGATTTGAAACCATTGCTCTAGATCAGGGGTCTCAAACATGCAGCCACCCAAGATTTGAAACCATTGCTCTAGATGGTGCTGGACTGCATTTCCCAGCGTTCCTCAACACAACCTAAATTGGCTAGGGCTAAAAGGCCACAATTTACCCACTCCCAATGCAGCACTTCTTTCATTGTGGATCCCTCCCTTATCAAGTTTACCTGCCCCCTAAGTTACACAGATTTTTATTTGTAATAAGAAGTCAGTAATATGCAGTAAGGGCATAGCTAACTTCTAGGAAAGATGGCCACAGATTTTTATTTGTAATAAGTCGGTAATATGCAGTAAGGGCATAGCTAACTTCTAGGAAAGATGGTTTTATATTTAGGGAAAACATTTTAGGGAAACCATTAAAGTACACTAAGTAGAAAAAAGATCATATTCCCACCCCACATCCACTCATAATGTCATTTTACTTCAAGCAGCTAACTTTGATAGGAACTTCTCAAATTCAATCTTCTTGAATTTACTGTAGCACTAATTATTGATCTGCTTCTCCTGCTCATGTATCTATTCCAAAAATCAAGAACAGGACCAAAAATGTTGTTCTCCACCTAACATAACAATGATTTCATTTTTGTCTTATTGCGTCATTTTTTAATGTGCGTTTTCTGGTTTATTCAGCCATTGGGGTAATTTAAAAAACAAATGATGACTGCATAGCTGCACACATTAGACTTGTTTGATACTTTGACTGTTTACTTCTCTAAGTAGCATCTCAGCTTCTGTGAATCTCTGGGAAAATAAAACAAAAATTCAAGAAAATGGAGAATATGATTTACATCCTGGAAAGTGAATATCCTACAAAAAAAAAGGATGTATAGTTCTGTGATGACATCTAAAAATTAGCTAGTCTGATTTTACCTTCCCCCCCCCAAGAAGAAAAAAAAGGATTTAAGAAAACACAGTTTTTGCCAATTCTCCCCATTCCTAGTCAAAGTTTATTTGTTGTGGCTTTTAATCTCCTGACTTGTCTCCCAATCAAAGCATTGGGAAAAAGAACGTTTTAAATAAACAGTAGGGATACAAGATAAATAAACTTTTTCTCTTTTTTTAGAGCAAGTGCCTAGCTTGGCACAGTTCAAACTCAATCCCCTGGAGGACTGAGCTCTCTCTTTTGTGTTAATGTTTAAAAGATTTTCAAATGCCGGAGTTTATTCCTACTGCAAACATTTCTATTTACAAGGTCAAGTGTATCAGCACTCGAGACAGCTTAAGAGCGTAATTATTTATCTAAGGGCGTTTGAGTGTAGATCAGTAGCTCTGGCAGAAAACCAGCCTTCAGCGGGCTGCAGAAGGCCAGTATCAGACAAGGGCTTGTCATTGTTGATCATGCATGCTTGTTTACCTCTGCCCTCTTCCATGTGGAAGGAAGAGGAGCCAGTCTGGAGAGGCCATAAGTTTTGAAGCTAATGCAGTAATTCAAGAGCATGTACTCCAAATATGTTTAAAGTGCTCATGGATCTCTTAAAACAATATGTTACTTGTGTACAAACACAGGACTGTCTACTGAAACTAGTTTCAATAGCAATTACTTCCGAGCAAAAGCTGGCACAAGGCATCACACCTCTGTAGGAAAACAGCCAGCATCAACGGAATTGTTTTCTGCAGATTTAACCCTGCTTTGTTGCCATGCCAACAATTTTAAACCCCCAAATCTGCAAATTTCATTCAACAGGGTCATTTTCAAAGTGGCATTTTATTTCTTCAAAGTAATGATTTGGTAAAGTAAGGCAATCAATTACCAACAGCCACTGGAGGTGGCAAACTGTCCAACTGCTCACACACCAAAATTAAATTTCATTAGTTTACTTTGGAGTAAAGCTTTTAAAGGTTGCAGCCATACATAACCACCTGTATTTCTGTTTCCTTCTGTTTCCATTTACTCCAGCTTTGGCTTTCAAGACCACTCTCCAGAAAACAACTTCACAACATCATTCTTTAAAAATCTTTCTTTACTAATTTACACATAAAAATACATAAGCAATAGATACTTAAAACACAAGATCTTTTCAAACATTCTATAAAAATACAATGTTTAAGGCAGTTTGGAGAGACATTAAATACAATTCTAGAAAATTCATAAAGTCTCTCAAAACAATGTGGAAGTTAATTTCAAATCTATAAAATACACTGTACATTATGATCTAGAATTTTCTTTTTCCATGGGAATTACCATTGCTTGTATCCCTTTACATATCAAATGAGATCTGTACTTCTGCAACAAAAGAACAGCAGATGTATTTATCTTGCAATTGGGCTGCATTTAAATCTTTAGCTTCTTAAAAAATAAATTATTCCCAAAGCATACAATTTATAAAATTCTATATACACACAAGAACAACTGGTAACAAATCCCAGTTTTAAATACATTTTATATAAGATTTACCAGAGGTCAGCTCCCCTGATAGTGTTAGAGGCAATATAACCTCTTTCAGGATATTTTTACATTTCATTGAGTTTTAAAAGTGTCTTTTGAAGATGGCAGTGCAGAGCTCTTTTAAGACAGAGGTTGCATTGGTCAATATCACCAAGAGATCAACTCTCCCCCCCCCCCTTGGTTAAGGCAACAAGAGATTTTCTAGTGATTTTGTATTGCAATTCTGACTGCTGAAAATGTTCAGCAGTTCTAAACATTAAAGATGGAAGGAGGATGAAAACTGTGTATGTTAAAGGTAGTGAACCTATGGATCTCCAGATGTTGAACGACCAGTCACATTATCCCTAAGCATACTGGCTGAGCTAATGGGAGCTGGAGTCCAACATCCATCCGGAGAGCCACAGCTTCTGTACCCCTGACACAAATTATATGCATATATTGAGCATATAGCCACATAGTTACCACCTGCCTGCACCAGTTGTCTATAAAGCTCCTTAGCATGAATGGGCCAGTAAAACAAGCACGTGCAATCATAGCACATGATGAATTACACACACACACACACACACACTGCAAAGGAAGCAAAAACTGTGTCTTCCTCCAGGTATCATTCCAAATGTTATAAATGGTGACATGGGCGGGCAGGGTACTAGAAGGGCTTGGTTTCAAGTTGCTGACCAGTTCTAGAAGAGTTTCAGAGGCACTCTGGGGAAGCTTGAGCCTTTCTTAATTTCATATGGAACAGTTTTGGAAAAACAGAAACACTCAAAACAACCATTAGCACATTTAGACTTTTCAAGTTGCCTTAAAAACGTGGCAAAAAAAATTCTACAGTATTCTTTTACATTTATCTGCTTGCTGCTAATGAGCCAAGTGGCAACAATTTGCATAGTGCACACTGAGGAACATTTCCACACGTTTTCCCTACATTCGTGTACATAGGTTGAGGAAGGAACACCTGTACACCTCCTTGCACAAGCACTTTACTTCAGCTGCAACTGGTAGCTGGTATACACACAGGTTGTTTCTCACCACCATGTTTTTTTTTAAAAAAAATACTCTGAAGCATACCTAAGACTGCAATCCCAAGCACACTTGTTTGGATACCTAAAGGGTTATTACTCCAAATAAAGGTGTTTAGGATCAAAGTGCCCAATCACCAACTCCACAGTTCAGGAATTTTATTTAGAACAGTGGCTACATTTTAAAAAAAAGGAATTTAATACAATGGCACCATCCCTTTCAAACATGATTTTTAAACTGGGAACAGAGAAAATTCCCAGTCAGATATAGTGAGGAGATAAATACACAGACAGAAAGCAGCGAGGTGTATCCACAGAGCAGAGCAAACATCACTATCTGATCGAATCCACATAAGGGTCCGGTCTCAGCTAATCCCTATTATAAAAACAGCTGGGCAAAGCAGAAGTGTCCAGTGATGGAAACAAAGGAAACCCAAACAAAATTCAAAGGCGTTCTGGGATGCTGAGGGGTTTGCCCAAATGCACTCCGGAGTAAGGCACGTTGCTTTATAAAGGGTTGGGGTGGGGGAAATGCCCCCCCTTTTTTACGTGAAACCTCGCGTGGAAAAAGTGGAGTCCCTCATCTCTCCAACGCCGGTAGGGGCGACTCTCCGGTGAGGGGCCTTTTTAATTTTTCTGTGCCCAACATACATTCTATACCCCCCCTCCCCAAAGTCAGAAAACGGAGGCAAACCTTTCTGTCGGCTCCAAGGCCATGCGGTCAGCCCAGGCGCCCTCCCCTCAACCCGTCCCCACATTCCAAGCCCCCCTTCAGAGCGCCTTGGAGGGAAATGGCTACGAAAGCAGCAGCACCAGCAGCAAAATGGAGGCGGCCGAGAGGAGCGTCCAAGGAGCCGCGCGGGCTGGGCAGCCGTCGCCGGGCTTCCTGGGGAACGCCGACACGGGCGCCGTCTCGTCCAGCTCATCTCTCGACCGCACGGGGTCGTCTTCGTACTCGTCGTAATAATCGTCCAGGGCTCCGTCCGAGGCGCCGCTGCTGCCGGGCCCGACGGCGTCCGGCCCGAAGCAAAGGCGGGCCATGTTCTCCTTGACCGACTCGCAGATGGGCCGCTCCAGGCCGTCGCACACGCAGTCGTTGAGCAGCAGCGCTTTGGGCACGGCCAGCATGTCCTCGATGACGGCGCGGCACTCCTCGGTGCAGCGCAGGCCGTTGAAGAGCTTCCCGCAGTAGGCCATGTAGCGGTTCAGCGCCACGCTGCACCGGCTGTCCCAGTCGCAGCGCCGCCGCGCCTCCGTGCAGCCGATCACGCCTCCCGTCCCGGCGCCGCCACCTCCTCCTGCGCCGCCGCCACCACCACCACCACCGCCGCCGCCGCTGGTCCGGGGCAAGCAGGGCTCGATGGCACGCTTGGTGGCCCGGCAGTTCTCATCCAGGTCGCAATCGCAGTCCTCCAGCGCCGGCCCCCGCCTGGTGTGGTTGAGCTGGATGAGGGCCGAGATGCAGTGGCTCGGGCACCGCCGCCTATTGGAGGACGAGGACGACGCAGCAGCAGCCGCGGCGGCCACAGAGCCATCCCCCGCGGCCATGAGCACCGGCGCGCACGCCTCGGCGTACTGGCTGTAAGCGTAGCCGCACTCGGGCTCCTCTTGGCACTGCAGCATCGCCTGCCAGCAGATCAGGCGCCGGCCGTGAGCCCCAGGCGGCGGCGGGGAAGCGGCGCCCAGGAGCAACAGCAGGATCCTCAGCGCCAGGGCAGCGGGCAGTGGGAGCAGAGCCGTCCGCCAGCACCTTCCTCCTCCTCCTCCTCGGCGTACTGGCTGTAAGCGTAGCCGCACTCGGGCTCCTCTTGGCACTGCAGCATCGCCTGCCAGCAGATCAGGCGCCGGCCGTGAGCCCCAGGCGGCGGCGGGGAAGCGGCGCCCAGGAGCAACAGCAGGATCCTCAGCGCCAGGGCAGCGGGCAGTGGGAGCAGAGCCGTCCGCCAGCACCTTCCTCCTCCTCCTCCTCCACGCCAACGGGCCGGGCTGGAGGAGGAGGTGGCGATGGGAGCGACGCCGGGACAAAAGTTACCCAGAGTCCTGCCAAGTGTCTGCACGAGGGTCCCCCCTCATCTATCCATCCGCGCGCCCACGCCCCCTGCTCGGCCTGGGAATCCCGGGAGTGCCGAGTGGAGGAACGGGGCGGCTCTTCTCTCTTCCTCCCCCCCCCCTTTCCTTCTTCCTCCCGCGCGTAGCAGCAGCAGCCCTGGGGAGGCCCTGAGGCGGTCAGGGAAGGCTGCAGGGCGAGAGGCTCCCCGCTGAGCTCATGCCGCCGCTCGGCGCTCCTTCTCCTCCTCCTCACGCCCAGCTCCTTTCTTCGCCGGCCGCTCGATCGGCCAGCAGCAGCAGCAGCAGCATCGCTCCGCACGCCAACTCCCGGCTCCGGTCGCCTGCAACCCCGGCCGGGCTCCGAGCCGAGGGCGCGCTCGGTCCTCGAACGGCCGGGTCCTCCCCTTTCTTCGCCTCCGGGGAGCCGGGCCCGAGGCGCTTCCTTTCTTTTTCCCTCCAGATGCGGCTTCTTCTTCGGGCGAGTCTCTCTCCCTCTCTCTTTTCTCCCTCTATCTCTCTCTCCGTACCTCCGTGTGCCGAGCCCTTCTGGGGAGTTGTTTTCGATCGCGACGCTTTAAATACAAAAGTGCCCTCCAAGCGGCGGCGGCGGCGGCGGCGGCAGCATGCTCTCTTCAGCCCTTATTATGCATGCATGGAAAAGCAAACAAACAAAAAAAAATTAGCAACGCTTCTCCTCCTTTTACACATCGCCCCCCCCTCCTCCTCCGCGGGAGCTTCGCTGGCTGGCTGGCTGGCCGCCTCTTTCTCTTTTTCTCCACTTTTTTCCCTCCCTCCCTCCTTCCCTCCCTCCCGTGGCTCGGCCCCTTTCGCCGTCTTCGCGGCTCGGGATTGGCCGGCGCTGTGGTTGAAGCTCCCTCCCGCCCCGCCCCCCCCCTCTCTGCACCTCTCCTTTCTTCACGAGCTGAGGGAGAAAAGGGGAGAGAGGGAGGGAGGGAGGGAGAGAGGGAAGAGGGGAGCGCGCAGGCAGCTCACATTCAGGGCTTGAAAAGAAAGGCTTAAAGAGATTGACAGCCGCCCCCCCCCGAGGAACCCCTCCTCCTATTAAGGAGGCGCTGCTCCGCGCCGCTTCCTTTGCCATGCACCCCCCCCTCCCGGAGTGGCGAAAGGGGGAAAACTTCGGCTGTGCCCGGCAGCAACGAGGGCTTTTCGGCCGGCCTCCTTGTTTGTTTGTTTTTAAAAATTTTTAAAATATGGTAACTACCAGACACACAAAAATACTATAAAAAATACAAAACAATAAAATACAATTACACATGTGTTCCCATCACCTTCAGGACTAGCATTACGCTTCATTCAATCCATTTTCACTCCAAAATTTCATTGTTTCTTCCCTCGGTGTATACCGAGGAGGAAAGGTTCAAGGATGTTCATCATTGCCCGCCCTGCCCAACAGACTGATATTTTAAAGTCGCTTTTTGGCGAAGTGGAGGGAAAAGAAGTCTGTTCATGAAACCAAGCGAGCCTTCAGAGGGTCAGGCGGTTCCCTTCCCTTAAGGAATGGCCCTGTCATCCTAAACTTTCTCCGTACAGCTCTTAAGTCCCAACGAAAGGTCCATTGAATCAATGGGAATTGGGCAAGTGTGGACATTGCAATCCCCTTTAATCCAATGGGCCTTTTTTTTAAAGTTGGCACTGTTTTGCCCAGACACAATCCAAGTTTGCAGAACTGCATCCCCACAACATGGGTGGGAGACCATCCACCTGCTTCACACATCCAAAATGCCTTATTTGCATAATGATTTTTAATTTCGTGACCCACAGAGTATATGGCTCCAGAGGAGGAGGCTAGGCAGAAAAAAAAAGGATGTTCATCTATGAGATTAACTGGAAAACTGTTCACAGTTTGTAACCTGGGACGCCTATTCTAACATTGTCCTCCTTAGAATAGAAGAGAACATGATGCTTCCGTGAAATCTATGGCATAGGTGAGAAGGAAATTTGATTAATTTGTTTTAATAGCCACACCTCATATGTCATCTCCATGTCTTGTTCCAAAAGCAAAGCTGAAAACAAATTCGAGGGATAAAAATTTGTTAGAATAAGTAATCTACAGAGTTATTAATGGAAGAACTGAAACTTTGGTTGTTTTAATTTCAGCACCACCTTTAGCGTCACACAGCCTTTTGGCCGCTAGAGGCATCAGAGTCTGCTGCCTTGGGAAGGACTGGGACTTTTTCACCAGGAAAGTTATCAACTCCATCTGTCATAAAAATCAGCACTTAAGCTATTTTCCAGAATCAAAAGGAGCCTGGATTTGTGGGATAAATTTTGTCTTAAAATCTCATGTTAGTATAGAAGTGCCCCGCAATTAAGAATCAATCTGACTGAATCTCTTTTCAGAGCATTCTCAACAAGCAGACGCTCCATTCTTTATCTGTTTTTACACTCCACAGACAACTCAGAGACAGGCAGCTGTGCCTCAAAGGATCCCTCAGTGCGGGTAGATTTCATTCTCCCGTTAACGTATAGAGCAGCCTTCCCCACAATATGGGACTTCAACTCCCATCATACAGGATGGCAGGTGTTGTAGTCCATATATCTAGATAACACCAGGTTTGGGGTGGATGAAGTGGACTCATGACCTAGGAAACTTTAGGCTACTTCACATGGATTTCTTATACAGGGAGCACACTTTTATAGGAACCTGTAAAATTTATGTGCATACCATTTGTAACAGTCTCCTGTGTTTTTGTTCCGCATTATAAATATGTATTTCACATATTTCCAGAAGGTAGCCTCTTGTTGGTTAGTTGCAGAAAAACGACAATTTTGTGGCACTTTCAAGACTGAAATTGTAGCTTTTATAGATTGCATCTCACTTCATCAGATTGATGGGATTCAATGGGCTGCACTTCATGAATGTTTATGCCAAATGAAGCATGTTAATGTTTAAGTGTCACTAACTCTGTTCATATTGCACCTATGAATAAAGTGCATGGGTGTGTAGTCCTTACACCTGATGACAATGTGCATGTCAGTGGCTTTATTAACTGGATTGATTCACTTTTTACCCAAGGGTCTGGGGGTTTATCCTAACAATGACCCTGTGAGGATAAGTTAGAATGAAAGGTAAATGGCTGCACCAACCCAACATAGCGAGCTTTCTGCCTTAGTGGGCAGCTGAAGTGGGGAGTTGAGAGCTCCAGTTTACCAATGTTTTAACAATTCCATTTAACAGAACCATGACAGTAATGTTTAATAGAGAGCCTACTCCTCGTTCATAGCATATTTGATTATTTCTCATTGTCAAACTGAAGCTGATCATTGTAGTTCAATAGGGTTCTTACTCTGTCACCCAAATTACTATGTAAACAGCTTCATGTAATCACATCATGCTGCTGATATTCACACAATTTTCCTGTAGTAAACTTTGGAGGAGCCATGTGTCAGATAGCAGCTATGCAGACTCTCCGTTGGGGGAATGAAAGATGTTGGGGATGGCGGTCATCTGGTGCCAGGCTGGAGGTCCCCCAGAATCAGATGGCATATTGGTCAGTGTATCTTCAGGCTTCCCTTGTTTTCACCACAAGGGGAACACCAAGGAGGAGCAAAGTGCATACACAGCATTTATCTTGGAAGAATCCTGAACGGTACTTCCATCCTTTCTGCATTGCAGTGGCTCTCAGTTTTTGGCCCTCCAGCTGTTTTGGATTTCAACTTGCAGAATTCCTAGGACAATGCTGGTTAAGGTGTCTGGGATTTGAGGTCTTAAACATCTGGAAGACAGAAGGTTGAGAACCGGTGATGTCTAGGAAAGGTGTAATGTTTGTAGTGTCTGTTAAGTTCAATGCATACATGGGCTGCAGACTCTGTCTATTGCTTTCTTGCTCACTGCCAAAGAGATTTGTTTGAACAAAAGAATATAACGCAGGTAGTGAAGCAAGTGAAATGTTATATGAATTCTGTGTAGAACAGAAATACATTCTATACTTAGGCAATAGGAAGAGACATTGTGGTACTTTGAGTTCATACTTTATTGCAAAACCCACACAGAACTTGACCTGTAAGGTAGGTGTGCTACAACATGATTACTTCCACTATTGTAAACAGTATTCCCCAGTTTCAGTACTTGCTATGTACAAATTTTTCCTCTTAGCAAACAATGATTTTTTTTATTTTAATGGTGGAACAAACAAATGGCATTTCCCAATGGTAAATGTCCATTGTAGGAAGGTTTTTTGACAAGTCAATTTTAACACTTTCAAATCAAGAACCCAGGATCTTAGAAACTGTATTTTCAACATAACTGTTGGCTTGGATTTTAACAGGTTATCTGGTGGCATTAGTACTGTTCTGCTCTCAGGAGGAATATAACAGGTAAATTGGGGAGGACTTTTGGGGGTGGGAGTCACTCTTATCTGATGCCCCCAAGATATCTCCAAACATTTGCTTCAGAGAGAGTTAGTGAACCCTTTGGAACATGGTATGTGGGAATTCAGGAGGCTGCAGAAGTGAGGGGGAATAAGTGATTATTACATCCCACTTTTCTTCCAATCACATCCAAGTCCCATCCATGGATAGAAGGAGCTCATCCATTTACAGAAATCAAGACCCACTGTGGGGGTTTCCTTCATATCTGGAATGACATAATTGTAGTATAAAGCCCATAGATGAAATAAGACAATTGGCTAACAATTATCATATAACACAAAGGCTTGGTTCAAGCTTTGGAGTGCCGTGCTACTTCTCATACCATTGTAAGAATTTAGGAAATGTTCTGCCGAATTAGGCCAAAGACCAGTCTAGTCTTATACCTGGAGTCACACAATGCCTGTTGGCAATCAACAAGATGTGCATAAATGCAATGGCATCCTCACACTCATGCTGTCACAACTTTTATAGAGACGGATCCCAGTACAAAAAGGAATATATTGTAATCATGAGCAATAGCACCGATAGCTTTACTGCCCAAATGT